TTACTAAAGATTTCCGTGGAGGGGGACACTTGATGAGTCTATTGACCAATTTTTTGTGTGCCCTGCGCAAGCGGGGCCAATAATCCCGAAATGAGTACAGCAAATACAAGTTTAAACAAGAGCAGCAGATTACTAAAATTCAAGTCAAAAGACGAAACGAAAGAGTGTGTTTCTACTCACTTATTTTGTCCGGCAGATGACGGACTACACAGCATTTTTTGGTGGATACCATTTAATCGCATTGATGAGCAAAATAAGAAAACGTAACGGACTAAATACAAGACGGAGAGAACACCGGATAAACGAGGAGTACACTTTTCCTATACTGATAAGATGTATTACATCAGCAAGAGTATGGCCACTGACTGCTCGCCCAGGAGCTATGCCCCCCTAAGTCTGCAAGTCGAATATGAGTGTTTGATGAGCCCCCGTAAGGGCTTCCAAAAATTGCCTTGGCGGACTATATTGCAAGTCCTCCAGGCGGGGTATTGGTAAAGTTTTCAACTAGCAATAATCGCACCTCGGATAAACCTCATTGGTTACGATATCGCCACTGCGCAAAGTTAACGATGCACCTTTGCCAATCGAAACTAAGCTATCTCTCGTGCCCGGAACACTGCGCGCGTCAGCATCTCTTCAGTGGCGCCATCGTTCGGCGTCGGGGAGCAACACGAGGAGAAGGTCGAGGTGCACGCGGATTACCTTTGTCCTCCCTAAACCGGGACAAATGCACGCGCGAATCTCCTCGGCGACTCGGACGGCGCGGATCGGCCGGCTGTTGTGTGCGGCAGCAGGGCGAGCTTGCGAGAGTGTTACAAAGTTGTCACTCTTTTGGATAGACCGATTACCCCTTCCCCAGCGCCTGTGGATCAGCGGGTAGGCAGCCCCGCGCCACCTCTGCGCGCTGGGCGGTGCCTATCCAGGTGAAGGCGGGCGGCGCGGCGGAAAAGCATTCGTACAGACGTAGCAACATAATCGCTTCATATGCTTAGTAAGCGGGTGCCCGTTGTGAGGCAGAGGCGTGCAGACAGATCACAACTAGGCACATGGAGTACACGCAACTTCACAAGGAGAGAGAAAGGGAGAGGGAGATTAATCCGGGAGAGCGCGAACGCAATCCCGACTATCAAAAATTATACGCCCGAGGTATCCACATTTGGGATACTCGCAGAGGTCAGCCCGACCGAAGTG